GCCCCCGTCATAATCAGCGAAGTGGCAATCTTAAAAGTATTGACATCACAAACTTCTCTACAAAGCACGATTCGGGTTGGATTCGCCTCTAACAACTCATAGTCTCACTGAAATAAAAATGCGAATAAAATTACAACTCAAAGGAGTTTTGTCAAACGGGATTGCCAAGAAATAAAACCTAACAGATTTAATTTCTAAAATGTCTGTGGCTAAAAACATCAAAGAAAACTCCCAAAGTATCCCCAGATATAAACCCTAGAAACCAAAAAGAAGATCTGGAGAAGTTCTCCTAAAATCTGACCCAACACGCGAATTTATAGAATCTGTCCCGCGATCTCCGCTCGAGCTCAACACAGCCCGCTCGAGCGGACTGACCAAAAACTGCGTGCGAACAAACTGAGATGCGCTCGAGCGTAGGAGAATCCGCTCGAGCGTAAAATCACACCTTCCAGTATTTTTACAGGCGACTGCAGAGATGCTGAGAGCTTCCAATCCCCGCTCGAGCGTCACTTTCCCCGCTCGAGCGGGAAGGCCAAAAATGGAAAAACTGGAAAAATATAACATGATCGGACAGGCAACTTTGAATGCATTTAGCTCGATCCCCGTCATAATCAGCGAAGTGGCAATCTTGAAAGCATTAGCATCACAAACTTCTCTGAATGGCACAATTCGGGTTGGATTCGCATCTAAACACTCATAGCCTCACTGAAATAAAAGTGCGAAAAGAAATACAACTGAAAGGAGTTTTGTCAAACGGGATTGCCAAGAATAAAACCTAACAAACTAGAATCAATCATGACTAATCACACTTGGGAACTAGTGGATCTACCTAGAGGATGTAAACATATAGGATGTAAATGGGTACTTAGAAAGAAGCTTAAAGCAGATGGGTCTATAAATAAATTTAAAGCCAGGATTAGTAGCTAACGGATATACACAAAAGGAGGCAATAGATTACTTTGACACATACTCACCTGTGACACATAGAGCTATTATTAGAGTCTTGATTGCCATAGCTTCTATGCACAAACTTGTAATACATCAAATAGATGTTAAAATTGCTTTCCTTA